TGGTATATATGTGTATTAAGAATTGTAATGCAAAAAATATATGTATAAAGGCATGAATTGGTGTGAACATACTTTATATACAGAAATATGAAAAACTGTGCTCTATATGTGTAATAAGAATTGTAATGTATTCCACTGCTGTCGTGTATTTAAAAAAAAATAAAATCAACAAAAGATTAGGAAAAAAAGATTGTACAACCTCCTCAAAAAAAAAGTTACAATTAGAGATGATAATCCAGGTAATGTTATTTTCATGCATAAAGAAGTAAAATCAGAAACATTGCAAAATTAGTGATAATTCTAAGCAATTAGAATTACAGTCAGTTAATGTGGCCTCAGAAACAACTTGCTAGAAGCAATGTTGAACTAGTGAGGAGCATCCTAGTCTAGGAGCAGGAGACCTGACTTGTGTCCTGAACCCATCCTTTCTAACTGGTTGGGAGATCGTCTGTGAGTTACAGACTCATGCGGACTAGAAAAACATGTATTAGTCTGGGCTATTATTGTATTTTCTTGAGGTCCCTCCCATTTTAAAATGTTTCCTTTTAATTAGGTCTGTGGGTAAACTACACTTCTTAAGTAAAAATGAACTTTTTACTGTATATTTTTAAAGGTGTCCAATATGGTATTTTAGTAACCTTTCTTTCTTAATTCCTCCTAAGGCTATCAAAATTCACATTTTCAACCCTCTGAGAATTGAATTCACTTATTTCCCTGGCATCACCCCCRTGCCACTCTTCCAGGCAGGAGTTCCGTCCTCTTTCTTGAGACCAGGAACTGCTGACACTTGAACCCAGCCACTCAGCATCCCATCTAGGAGCAAAGCTTTGCTTTGTCCTCATAGATCATCAGAAATAGGAATCTTAATTCTACAAAATTGGGAACACGCAAAAAGTCTACCTTGGGGCAGAGATTATTTTTTTCTTGTAGATAGCCCCTCTCAACCAATGGAGCAAAGGACTTTGTCTGACCTCATTCTTGCCCTTAAAGGATGTTTTTGAGAAAGTCTCTGCATACTGTCTGCTACATCCTACTCTCGGTTTGCACTCATCTTGGTTTTTGGTCTCAAGACATCCAAAGGGCGTGTTTTGTGGTTTAGCTCCTACAGGCTTCCCTTTCCGTAGCAGCTGCAGTGGCATGAGTGTCTAGGGGATGAGACTGTGACCTTTGTGGCCTTGTCTCACTCTTAGTCCATGTAATCAGCCGCCCTCTACGGGGGAGGGGGAGATGGCCTTCTCCAGATCCACTCTCAGTTGTTTGTAATTTTCTCAAAAAAATAAATATTCCAAGGCTACAATTTCTCATGCTTTGGTCTCAAACCCAGAAGTATGTTTTGTTGTTGTTGTTTTTGGAAAGTTTCAGAAACGTCTGTTTGGAGGTGATTATTTCAGTGGGAAACAAGTATGTCAGCAGTGAAACTTCTCAGACCTATTTTCTTTTTCGTGTCCAAATTACCCTTAAAAATGGCAAGTACCTAGACCTCAGTGAGGAATTCATGGCAAGAATTAATTTTTCCTTTTCCCTCTGCTTTTGATTTTTTCCCCTTGATTTCTCCTCTTTTTCTGAGAAAAAGCATAAGAAAATAGAAGGATCCAGACATACTTTGCATTGCCAAGAAAAACAACAGACCTTACTCTTGCCTTTACTCTGAAATTGTACCTCGCTTATTTCACAATGAGACAAAGTTATACTGCAATTAGACTCTCTAATTTAAGCCTTGCTATCCTTTAAAAAAAAATTACAGTAAAATTGTCTGTCACCTAAATCTTTGGAATTTTTCTCTTTCTGGAAAAAATTCACAAGGTAGCTTGGTCCAAGAAGTAACTACAGCATCATACCTTCAGTGATACCCCTCACAATACACACCCAATTTTTGGTCATGGTTCTGCCTTTACATTGAGACYCCCATTGTCCTGCTTTGGGGTCATTAAAACAGCATCTGCTTCCACTCCGTCATGAGGATCATGAGGATGAACCCTCTTCTCTGTCTCGGAATACCTGCTTCTTGGCACTCCCTCTCACTTCTCCGCTGCATTCTTTTCTCCTTGTTGTTTTTTAAAAGCAGGTTGGTGGCTGGCTGCAGAAGTGGGGCTTGTTTCCATTTTGAACCTTATAAATCACCAAGGGTGCAGAAGTAACAGGCACTGTTTGCCTTGTCCTCGTTAATCAGGAGGGTGTCTGGGCTGAATTTCCTCAGTAAAACCTTTGTTGATTTTACAACCCAAACACCTTTGTAGCCGCCCTGTGRTCAGATAAGAAACAGCCCCCTGTCCGTCTTTGTCGACTTCTCCTCTTTGCCCTTTAGTAGTTCATATACATTTTCAGTCTCCTTCCCTCCCGTCTTCCCTTCCCTTCCTCTCTTCCTCCACTCCCTTCCTCTCTCCTTCCTTGGGGCAGGAAAAGGAATGCTTGACATCAGTCTCCTTAAGGACTCTGGGAATCTGGGGCATGTCRTGAATAATCTAGTTCCTTAAAATCCCACGACTGGGATCTCGTACGGTGTTCTATATTAATATGCCATCTAATTGGGCAATAGTAGTTTAGAGAATTAATTCCAGTGTCTGGAAAATTGAGAGGACACCAAAATTTTGCTTTTTTAGTAGGAACTTTTCTTTTATAAAGAGATCACTATTTTATGTCACTCTTGTTTCAACTATTTAAACACCCACTGGGTTCATAGCCCCAATGGAAAACAAAATGGGAAAAAGCTACTATTGTGGCTAAAAAGTATAGACCTTTGGTATCCACCTGACCTGTGGTTTCAGCCCAAGCCTACAGTTGTGTGAATCCAGGCAAGTTTCTTCACCTCTGAAGCTCAGTTTCCTCACCTGTAAAATGGGGATGATGGCTCCCACCTTGAAGGGCTGGTGTGTAGATTTAAGAAGACACTTTGTGCACAGAGCTCAGCCGGTCCCTGGGGCAGCAGAGGGCACTCTACCTCTCGGCCCTCACTGCCCTGCCAGGCCAGCTCACATCCTCTGCAGCTGCATGATCTCACTTTGCTAGTAATATGGTCTTTTGATTCACTGAATTGTTTGGAAAAAAGACAAAAGCACTCTTTCCCCTAACAGGAAATTATTTTGAACTGCCAGGAAGAAAAAAAAAAAAAACTTCTGAAAAGTAAAAACTTTCTTCTAAACCCCTTTTAGAGAATGTGTCCTTGTCCTTTCCCAGWGTAGTTGAGAAGTCTTGTGGGTCCTCTGATGTTGAAGGCATAAGGCAGAGGGAGAGAATAAAAATCAAGAAGAAATGAGTCTTTCTTGGAAAACACTGTGAGCATTGGTGTGGGGAAAGGCCCTAGGTCTGGTTTGGGGGGTGCTTCTCGGTACAGTGGATGTGTCCCCTTCACTCCCTCTGAAGAGGTTTTGGAGAAGCAAAAGATCTAGGCAAATCCCAAGCACCTCCAAGAACAGAGCAAGAGCCTCAAGCCCAGCCTGCAGTCCCCATGTCAGGCATGTTGGGCTGCAGGTTAGGGACCTCCTCTTCCTGCAGACCCTGCAGGTTGCCAGAGCTCCACCCACTAGCGAGGTCCACCCTGCTGTCTGCTAGGAAGTTTAATTACTTTCCCAGATTTTTCAATGGTGACTGCAAATCTTCAAAAATCTCTGACTAGGTCAATTGGTCTAGAAGAATCAACGTTGAATGTAGGTCCCTTTCCTAGAAAGATAATAATGATATTGCCATATGTACAGGATTCGAGAAGATTCATTGTTGTGCTGTCATTGGAATGATGCCCTCAGTGTTATAGGAACTCGTTCTGAACCCTCCCTGTCCAATAGAGTGGTGATCCACCTTCCTTATTTGCTAGTATAATACATCAGTGAGAAGCATGGAAGCAAAACCTTGGTTTGGGCTGTGGCAAAAAGGGAGAGAGAGAAAAGAGGAGAGGAGAGGAGAGAGAAAAGAGGAGAGAGGAGAGAGAGAGAGAGAGAGAGAGAATATATACTTGCTATGTGATTTCCATGATCTTTTCATAATTTACAGGAGAGTAAGGAATAATATTGTGGAAGGGGAGAATTTAATGTTTTACGTGGGTGTGAAGGGGTGGCTGATGGCTGAGATGTGTCACTAGGTAGCTGGAGGAGCCGTGCAAATCCTCAAGGGACTATTTTATGGGTAGAAATGCAACCTAGGCAGTTGTCAAGAGCACAGATGTTGTAGAGATGGAAAATTCCAGAATTTCAGCACTAGGATAGAAAAGTGGCAACCAGCAAGTGAAGCTGAAATGAGGCCCCATGCCCTGAGAAGGTGAGGGGCCTGCCTTGGCTGATGTGTGACTTGTGCCTATGTTTGTGCTGGCAGTAGAGGTTACAGATGAGCCAGATGACCCCCATGAGCGCAGGCTGATTTCAGGAATAAAGAGCATTTACAGGGATCTATTAGGCATGGAATCCAGATGAGAAGAGTCAAAGCAGTTTCATGAGATACTGAGACTGTAGGATTTTTTAATCAGGAACCTCCCCTAAAAGGAGGATTCCGCACACAGGTGCATGCACAAGTGACAGTGCTGTCCCACAGCTCACTAGCAGCATGGCATGCCACCTGGCCTTTGGCAAGCAAATGCTAAGAATAATCTTATCTGTTCCAGCTTCTGCACTGGACACTCCCTGCCCTGTGTCCTGGACGGGGCTGTAGATCCCAGCCTGTTTGTATCCTTGGCTCCATGTCCTGGGTACCTCTTGTTGTCCCTTGGGAAAAGCTCTAGCATCCTTACCACAATAACATCACCTTCTAGGTCAAGGGCACACCTGACAAGAGGCTTCTTCTACATGCGAAGGGCATGAGGGGGTTCTTTGGTCTTCCCACAGCCTGTCAGGTCCCTACTTGGAATGCTGCCAGTAAGCGCGAGGGAAGCCGGCCTGTGGGGTGAAGCCCTGCCTGTGGGGTGAAGCCCTGCCTGTGGGGTGAAGTCCTGCCTGTGGGGTGAAGCCCTGCCTGTGGCTGCCACCAGCACACACAGGTGTTCTCACCACACCCATTCTTTCTCTCTCTTACAATAGTGGTGCAGGGGACTGCAACAGCTCTGTGAGTGACCCGGTGGCCTATGGAACGTTGCCTTGGGATCCTCTGACACATCATGCTGCATGGGAGGATGACAACGCAGAAAGGAAAAAGGCAGGAGGTCACCMTCACCTGGCTCATCTTGGCCACAGTGGGCTGCCTTGCTGACTTGAGTGAGTTCCCACCTGCCCTCGGTCCGTTTCCCCTGGAAGGACTCTATTTTGGAGCTGGGTGGATGCATAAAGCATCTTATCATAATTCTTAAAAACAAAAACAAAAACACTTTGCTCCCACCGATCAAGGGCACATTCCAGAACACAAGATGAGAACTATCGTGATACCATATTGGTTACATGTTGGTATTGTATTGATTTCAAAGATGTACCCAAGGAGGAGGAGAAAATGATAACTTCGTTTATTGTATGAGACCATGGCAGGACATGTATGGTTGGTAAGCCTCCTGCCAGCCCTGGGAGATGAATATGATTGGCCTCACTTTACAGATGAGACTGAAAAGGGCAAGTCACATGGCTCAGAAGTGGTGACACTGGGATTCAGCCCAGGTCTTCTCTCCAACTCTGGAGCCTGAGCTCTTGTCTCTATGACACATTGCCACTTCAAATCTGTTTGCTAGAAGTAAAGACAGGCTGGGCAGTGGTGGTCAAGTTACTCAGAGAAAGATCAAGTCCTGGGTGCTTAATTCTGGAAGGGTACCAGGGTGCAGTGGTTCTAAAAAGGTGATGTTGTTGGTTTGTTGGGGGCTTGATGTCATTGCTACATGCCTGTTCTTTTTCCAGACGAGGTCCCTCGGGTCACTGTCCAGCCTGTGTCCACTGTCCAGAAGCTGGGAGGAACTGTGATCCTGGGCTGTGTGGTGGAACCCCCGTGGGTGAACGTAACATGGCGCCTGAACGGGAAGGAGCTGAATGGCTCAGATGATGCTCTGGGAGTCCTCCTCACCCGAGGGACCCTGGTCATCACTGCCCTCAACAACCACACCGTGGGACGCTACCAGTGTGTGGCCCGGATGCCTGCAGGAGCTGTGGCCAGTGTGCCAGCCACGGTGACACTAGCCAGTGAGTCTGCTCCTTTGCTGTTATGTGTTCCCACCTCCTCTCTTCCAGTCTCTTTCCCCCTACCATTTGTACCTCCTGTCATTAGTCATTCCATAAAAGGGTGCTTAATTGTTGAAATTTTCAATCAGAGGGCAACGTTGAGGGCACCATCATGGCCTGGGGAATCTCTGAGCAAGACAGTATCTGGAGCAAACATCTGCAGGGGTGAACAGTTCTGGGGATCCCAGAGCTGAGCCAYATCCTGTGTCCCCACTTTGTCATCCTGTGATGGACCAGCTGCTGTCACCCTGCACCTCCATCACCATCACCCCATTCTCTTAACCTTTATAGTCAGAGCATGTAGGAGGCTGGGTAACAGAGCCTGTCCTTCCAGGACTTGGCCTCTGTGAGTGGCRAGCATACTGCAGATGCCTGGAATATAAATTGTAGAGCATAGTGAAAAAGATGAAGAAAACAGAAACCACCAAGACCTTCAGTGGCAATTTGGTCCAAGGTTTATTTTCTTTCTTTCCTTCCCTCCCTCCCTCCTTTCTTTCTTCCTTTCATAGTGTTACACTCAGCATAAGGTAGTTTATTAAAGTCATTGTCTGCAGACATTCTGCTTGTTATAGAATCAGTGTTATCTGTGATCTCTGTTTTCTCTGATTATTACATGACCATGAACATAGATCCTCAGGCCAACATATGGAATCCAAGGGTCAGATGGCTTCTAAGGTTGCTCCCAACCCGATAAAATCTGGTGGATTCTGTTTCCAGGTACTTCCTGCCAGATTGTCTCATGACTGTTTTTATTTCTTTCATGTTTGTGAAAGTGAGACTTGGTTTTTACAAAATTACCTAAATATATATTATGAGGGTTCCACAGAACAAAGTGAGGGCCGAGTGATTTGACGTAGTCACAGCGGGAAGAGGAGCCTTATGCAGGACAGGTATTCCAGTCGCCACCCTCATGGGCCCACCCTACTGGACCCTGTCATGTTGTGCCAGGTGGGAGTGACCAGGGTTGGCCATCTGACACACCACGGGCTTCACCGTTTGTATGTGCTACGTCCTGGGCACTGCACTTGTGTTACCTAATTTTCCACCCATTATAATCAGGCAACCTGAGTTTTGGCAGATTAATCACGGAAGGCTGCACAGCAGTCCCAACACTCATTATGATGCGTTGAACCTAGAAGGATAAAGAATAGCTTCCATCTTGGCCCTTTTCTGGAGCCTGAGGTGTAGAAAATAGGGAAATTTGWTAAATGGCATTTGGATTTCCACTTTGAGATTTCCAGGGCTTATTCCCTCATGATTTAGCAGTGTCCCATTATCCCTGACACCCCTGCTTTGGGCTTCCATGTTGCCATCACCACCCTCATGAATGACAAAGTTCCAGGAAGTTCATGGTCCCATGTCATGGCTCATACCTAAGACAGCAAGCTTCTGAAATGCACCTCCATCGTGGCCAGCTGGGGCCCTCGGGGTGTGCGAGGCATGAGCTCTRGCAGGAAAATGCTAAGAGATGGGGAAGTAGAAAAGCCAGCCCTCTGGTCCCCAGATTCCCTGGAGAGACTCTGCTCCGTGGGAGAGTGAAACACAGGCTGCTGGCTGTGCYCCCGTTTCCTTGGGAGATAGTTGAGCAACCCAGCCATTTTCTAAGGGGAGGAGGCAGAGCGTGTCCTTAGCTATCTCCTTGAGKGGTCAGGCTGCCCCCGGAAGCCCCCACACAGTGGAAGCCATTTTCCTTTGTGGCAGAGGAAGCACCATTAAGTCTGAGTACCAGAAGGCTGTCGCCAGCTGGTTCTGTGTAAGGGAGGGTGCTTGGAGGTTTAGGTGAAGAGGGTGGAAGTGGGGAAGGGACATCTCACCACATCAATAAGGACTGACTTGGGCTGGGGTTGTGTAGCTCAGGGGTACAGMACTTGCCTAGTGTACACAAGGCACTGGCTTTTGTCCCCAGTACCACTAACATAAAGTTTTTAATGGAAGGGCTGAGGTCATAACTATACTTCTTTTTTATAATCTCTACTTCTGCTTTTTTGTGGGGGGCAGGGTACCAGGATTGAACTTAGGGTCACTTGACCACTGAGCCACATCTCCAGCCTTATTTTGTATTTTATTTACAGACAGGGTCTCACTGAGTTGCTTAGTGCTTCACTTTTGCTGAGGCTGGCTTTTATATTTGGAAATTGTGATTGCGTATAGAAATTTTAGAATATATAAAAACAATGTCTCTCTCAAGCCTGCCATCTCTACAAACGAACTACTGTCATTTGGGCACATGCACTTTCAAGTCTTTATCCATACCCCTATTTTTACATTATTGTAATGATGATACTAAATTCCAGTGTCTACTTATTTTCTTCCCTTGACATTGTATATATAATATGCATTTGCCATTGACCATAAAATAATTTACTTTCTTCTTTATAAACAAGTATAAAATGCTCACAGTAAAATACACAAAGTGTATTGATCTTTAGTGAACCATCCAGTRCGCTGTGTAACCATCACTCTGACACATCCCATCATGCCCCTTCCTGGTTGGTCCATCCTTTGGCCCCAGCAAAGCATGCTCCTGACTATAGATGGCCCTAGAACATCCCCCAGTGGCTCCTCCATAAGGAACTGAATTCTTTTCCTATTGCTGGGCAATTAGTTCACTTCCAGCTGTTCATTATTATAAATAAGACATGCCTTTTAGCAACTTTATGCCTTTAGAGGGTATCTGGGAGGGAGATTTCATCTACAAATGGTCTGCAYGTGTCTGTGGGGGCTCCAGAAATTCCATAACCATTCATTCAGGGTAATTAGGAATCAGGCTGAACCTTTTATTGTTTGGCAAAGGGAGGGTTGGAAAGGAGAAGATTGATTTTGGACTCCTCCTCTTGCTTCAAGGTGTATCTGGGTGAAGAGAGACAATTTATAGACAATTTATTTTTTTAAAAAAATTTCCTGGCTGCTGCTCTCTCTGGTGCTTGCAGGGATGTGTGGTTGGCAGAGAGGACAAAGGGAAGGGTTTGGTTGCAGCCCAAGAAGACACAGCGAGAGAAGAAGGGGCATGTGCGAGAGCGGAGCGGTCTTGTTTGAAAGCCAAGAACTATTGGCTTGTCATTTAGACATGAATCACAAGTGAAATGTGTGGGCCTGAGTGGAGGGAAAGAAAGCAATGGAAACAGGGTGAGCAGACTGGGGGTCCCTGTCTCGCAGAAGGTGGAGCTGGTGGAATGGAACCGCAGCCTCCCAAGCTTGGGGGAGACAGCAGTGGCGGGAAGGCAGGTGGGGGAGAGAGAAAGGGGTGCTGTCTTTGGGTTAATGCCACTGAGGGATTTGGCCTGGATTTAGCAGTTAGATTAAGTTTCTGAAAGCACATTCYTGAGCAGAATGGGGGCTGTGTTTTGCTGGTTGGCTGGTGGACAAGGAGGCTGCAGGGTAGACGGGATTCTGTGTCTCCGGGAAAGGCTGGGCACAGGCATGTGCACCCAYACACTCTCAGCATTTACCTTCTCTTCCTCTGGCCTCTTGAGCCTGCCTTCCTGTGTTCTTCGTCACACAAAGTGGGTGCTGTTGGGCCTACCTGGCAAAATGCCACCGCCTGGCCTAACTCTTAGCCATCACTTAGAGCTTKAGATGATGGGGCTGAGGACCTGCTTTGAGGATTCAGGAGGCCTCTGGAGAACTCTACTGGCCCAGGCCTCTCTTACACCAGTGTTACTTCTGGGTTTCAGGTAAAATGGAGCCAGAAGTCGAGACCACCCGAAAAGTCTCACCTGGGCATTCTCCCCCTCCACCCAGGCTATCCTGGCCATCAGATGGAGTCACCCTCACTCTGAGGACAGGGCATCTCACACTCCCCTGTGGAGAATGTTTTTCTTTCTTATTTAAACTTCATTTTTGAGAAATCGCTCTTGCTGCTAGTGCCTCATTTCCGATCATCTAGTCTAATTCCTATTTTTAAAATGCTTTTGACTTTGATTGCCTTTTTTCCTCTTTCTGGTCAGAAGCTTTATACCAGGTAGTAAACCACTTTACATGACTCAAATATTCCTACTGTGCTCCTGAACCCATAGCAGACACCACCAAGGGAACACCAGATACCACAGCCTAACAAGGAGGCCCAAGGGTTCCTCAGAGCCACCATGCCACAGGGAGGCTGTTCTTTGTCCCCTACCTCTAACAACCCACCATTCAGATAACTCCTACCTAATCCTTTACTTTTAACGTTTTCTATTCTTTAAGCAATTCTCCCAATTGTCCAAGCATCCACTGTCCCAGTTGTTGTTGGAAATAAAATAGACGGTAACGGGGAAGTTACCTACCTATAGTTTTATATGTGGAAATTTTAGTCTTCCAGCTAAWGTGAAGTCTTCAGTTGATGCTGGTATGATTGAGAGGAGTTCTGGAACTCTCTATAAGACCTCTGAGCATGAAGATCAGGCACGTACTCCTAGTGATCCTTTCTCACGTCCCAGAGATCAGCAGGTAGAGAGGCTGACAGGAAAGAAAGTGTTCCCTCTGAGGAGCCACCTTCACGACAATGAGGAAACGTCAGAAAGGGACGAGGTGCCCTTTGTGATCATAATTTAATTTACCCCATCAATACAATGCACAGCCACACTAGTATAATGGGAAAAAAATAAAATTTAAAAATCCTCGGTTGAAGTCTTTGCTCTGACTTTGGATAAATCATTTAATTGCTCAGATTGCCAATTGTGTGGAATGAACATAACCATCTCATCACCAGACACAGGGTCAAATGACATATAGATGTCTATATTTTGAAGGGGCACTCAGCCACTGAGCCACATCCCYAGCCCTATTTTGTGTTTCATTTAGAGACAGGGGTGTCACTGTGTTTGTCACTGTAGCCCACAGAGCTGCCCATCTGTTTCTGTGGGCTCAGTGCTGCTCACTGTTCCTTCAGACAGAGGTTGGCTTGGGCTGWCAGGCTATGCTGACCTGGGCCCTCAGCATGGCAAATTCTTCAAACAGGCCATGCTTCCTCTTGCTCAGCT